TCATATGGGAAGAGCTACCCCTGATTCCCTTCAGTCCCCATTTCCATGGTGTATGGTCTCCGTCTTTCTCTTGAAGCCTGTGAGTGGCTTTGCCTGTAGAGTGAGTTTCTTGTCAACAACCTATAAGTGTGTCTTGTTTTTAATGCTGTCAACCTGTGTCTTGGGAGAGCGTATATTATTACTTGAAGCCTACTGAGATGATTTTTATTTCCTGCCATTTGATTTGAATCTAATTTTTATTCTAGACATGATTCTCCTCTTCTTAATTATTCTTCTTGTGAAATTCTTCCCTATATTGGCTTTTTAATTTTTTATTTTTACCCATTTCAGTATGAAACATTTCATCAAGTGTGTTTGGCTGTGTACACTTGTTGACTATGATTTCCTTGTTATTTCTTCTTATCATGGAAGGTTTTTCCTCTAAATTTCTGAAGGATAATTTTAATTGACACAGTAATCATGGTGAGCATCACCTTCCCTTAAGGGCTTGATATATATTATTCCAATCCCTCCTGACTTATAGGGTCTGGACTCAAAAAGATGTTTAAATCCTAATTTGCTTACATCTAAATGTGGCTTTAAAAATTGTATCTTTTTTCCATAGATTAGGCATGTGTAGGGAGAGGGTCTTTTTGATGTTGTGAATTTAAGGGTGTTAAGTGTCTTATTCCTAAGGCTCTCAAAATTTTCTGATATTAATTCATTGAAGACAATGCACACCTGCTTAGTTAGAATTTGGCACCATCTTCTACACCACTAATTCTTAGATTTGGTCTCTTAATGATAGAACATATTTTTTAAAAAAAAAAATTCTGTGTCACTTTCTCTTAACATGTTTATTGTTGGCTATATTTTCAAGATTATTATTTTGTGTTTATATTTTGAGACTCTGTCTTCTCTTTTACCTAATCTATTGATGATGCTGTCAATAGATTTTTTATTGGATTTATTGAGTTTTCATCTCCCATATTTCTATTTAATTCTATTTCAGAATATCTGTGTTTTCATTGAAATGACTTTTCATTTTTTGCATTTTCTTCACTTCTACATTTCTTATTTCTGGTTTTACCTCATTAAGCTATTCAATTGTGATCTCTCTAAGTGCCTTTTAAAATGTATGCTTAGTTTTTAAGATAATGCTGAGGGAATAAATGTAAGCACTAAATAAAATTGTTAAGTAGTAACAAAAATTATGCTTTCTGAGAATTTTTCTTTCTTATATGCTATATAATCTTTGTTATAGTTGTTAGGTACACACAACAGTCGATTGTATTTTGATATGGAATACATAGTTGGGGTGCAGCCAATTACAATTTTCATCCCATTTTTTTGGTGGAACTTGATGTGGAGTTTTACTGGTCAAGTATTCACATATTAGAATAGGAAAGTTGTCTATTTCATTCTACGATCTTTCCTATTTCCAACTCAAAATCCCTTTCCTTCATTCCCGACTGTCTATACCAATAAACTTCTACACATACCACCCATCCTCTGTTGTTTTGTGATAGCAACCACATAGCATAAAGCACACTTGATCTTTCATTTTGTGGGACTGGCTTAATATCACTTAGCATGATATTCTTCAGTTCCATCCATTTACCAGCAAAAGTCATAATGTCATTCTTCTGTAAGGCTGAGAATTATTACATTGTGTGGATGTGTATAGTTATCTATATCTATATAGATACACAGAGATATATATCTCTAGATATATAGATATCTATCTACAATAGATAGATAGTAAGATATATAGCATATATATCGATATCTACATGTAGATATTTAGGTATATAGATATATCCACAAGTTGTTTATCCATTTTGTATTGAAGGGCACCTAGGTTTGTTCCAAACCTTGGCTATTGTGAATTGTGCTGACTTTACATTCATTCAGCTACATCACTGAAGCATGCTGATATTAATCCCTTAGTCTATAAAATGAGGAGTGGATTAACTGGGTCAAATGTGGTTCCATTCCAAGTTTCTAAGAAATTTTCATACTCCTGTCTACAGTGGTTACACTAATTGGAAGTCCCTTCACCGATGTATGAGTGTGCCTTCTCCCCTCATGTTCTTGCTAACAGTTATTGTTCCTTGCATTCTTGATAATTCCCATTGACTAGAGTGAGATGGAACCTCAGTGTGGATTTAATTTGCATTTTCTAAGTGGTAGAGATATCAACCTATCAGTAAATACATTTTTTATGTATTTACTGATAGATTATATTTTTCCTGTGCAAAGTGTCTGTTCTGTTCCTTATCCCATTTATTGATTGGGTTTTTTTGTGGTTAGTATTTTTGTGTTCCTTATATCTCCTTGAGATTAATACTCCTACTGAAGTGTATGTAATTAAGATTTTCACCCTGCTTTAGAATCTTTCTTCATACTATTGAATGTTTTCCTTGCTGAGAAAAAGCTTTTTAGTTGGATTCTATCCCATTTACTGATCTTGATTTTACTTCTGGCTCTTTAGGAGTATTGTAAGGGACGTGAGTTTCTAAGCTCACATGGTAGGGATTTGGGTACACTTTCACTTCTATTACGTGTAGGGTCTCTGTGCTAGTGCCAAGTTCTTGATCCACTTTCAGTTGATTTATGTGCAGCATGAGAGAGAGGGGTGTTTAATAACATTTTGCTACACATGGATTCCCAGTTTTCCAGCACCATGTGTTGAAGAAGCTATTTTTTTCCAATGTGTATTCTTGGCTAAAAATTGTTTTGGCTATTTTGGGTCTCTTATTTTTCTAAATAAATTTCATTATTGCTTGTTCTAATTCTATAAAGAATGTCATTAGGATTTAAATAGGAATTGCATTAAATCTGTATGAAAATTTTGGTACTGTAGGCATTTTGATAATGTTAATTCTGCCTCTCCAAAAGGATGAGAGATCTTTCCATCTTATAAGATCTGCTTGAATTTCTTTTTAAACTTCTGTAGTTTTCTTTATACAGGGCTTTCATCTATTCTGTTAGTTTGATTTCCAAACATTTCTTTTTTTGAGGATATTGTGGATAGGGAGGTTTCTCAAGTTTCTTTTTCAGTGGATTCATCACTGATTTATCAGAATGCATTTGATGTATGTGTTAATTTTGTCTCCTGTAACTTTGCTCAGTTCATCTACTAGTCCCAGAAATTTTTTGACGGAATCTTCTGGACCTTCTAAACAGTTAAGCATGTCATCTGTAAATAGTGATACTTTGAGTTCTTTTTATTCCTATTCATATTCCTTTAATTTTTTCCTTCTGTCTAATTGCTCTGGCTCAAGTTACAAGGATGACATTAAACAAATGTGGTAAATGAGGGTTTTCTGTCTTGTTTCAGTTTCTAGAGGAAATGCTTTTAATATTTCTTCATTTACAATGAACCAGGCCTTGGGTTTAGCTTATATGACTTTACAATATTGGATTATTTTACTATTCTCCCCAGTTTTTCTAGGTTTTTCAACATGAAGATGTGCTGTATTTGTCAAATGCTTCCTCCACATCTATGGAGATGGTCATGTGATTCTTGTATTTAAGAATATTTATTGGATGAATTGCATTGATTGATTTTGACATGTTGATACAACTAACCCTAACCCTAACCCTTAATGAAGGGACCTATTTGTTTATTTATTTATTTATTAACTTTATTAATTTATTTATGCATTATGCTGGTATATAAAAATGAAATACAGTGCTATATTTTCAAGAATGTGGATAGCTTAATTTGTGAACCATGATTTCATTATTTTTATTCTAGTTTGAATGAATTGATTTCTTGGATTATAATATAGTTTCATTCTGTATTTACAAATTTCTCAACTTTATTTCTAGTTGCATTCTTCAGCATGAAAATTACTCTATTTTTGTATTTTTTTAGTTGATAGTTGATTTCATATTTTTTTCTTTGTTTGGCTCTATGTGGATCACTTAGATATTTATTTTGCATTATTCACATATCTCACCAATCACCATTTCTTTAGAATTTAAGTCAGGAAATTTATTTAGTTGGCTCCATTTGGCAATTTTCACCAATTATTCCACAATAAACCTATTTTCTTTTGGCACATTATGTCAGGGACAGATTTTTCCGAAAGCACCCTAGGAGGAAAGAAATTAGATCCATGTTTTTGGAATTCTCTCTTCATTGTATTCTGCTAATTTTTAGGGTAAGTATCTGTGGTAGAGAAATAGACACAACTCTCCTTCCCTCTTTTTGTGTCTTGTTTGAACTGTTGTCACACGCAGCCTTGAAAATACAATGTCTAGAGTATTAAGTAAGGCAACATGTTCAATGCATACATTTTAAGATTATATATTTATGGAGGAAGGATGCAGTCAAGGATTTTATTTTTTGATCTTCCTTGTATTCTCAGGTTGATAGAATTTTACACATTGCATTTCTATGTTCAGGTGAATCCAGTAAGAAGGATAAATTCTAACTTTCGTTTCTTTCATTTATATCTCCCCTCCAAACTACTGGATGGTTACCAGAGGAGAATACACAAGGTTCATTGCAACAAGTGAGAAGTACAAGATATGAAATTAAGGATCTTGAGAATATACAATTCATTAAACAAGAAATTGGGAGAAAGTGTAAAGGGGAGCCAGAATCTCATGGACCTTATCCCTGTGCAGTGGCTCCATCTGAGAGGACTGGGAGAGAAGATGCACATCAAGAATCTGCCCAAACTAATGACTTTGTGTCAGGAATTTGTGTGGATTCAGTTGCTTCTTGGAGTAAATGTGTAGATTTACTTATGAAACATTCCTTCACTGAAAAAAACAACTTAGAAAATCAGCAAGGAAATGTAGCTCATGATGCAAAACATTATTTGAAACATTGTGAATTTGGCTTGAATTGTCATTCAAATATTGCTGGAGACAAGAGATTCCAAAATATGAAAAAAATATCTCAATGGGATTTGAGTGATAATTCGTTCATCAAAAGTTCACTATTTCTGCATCAAGACTTCCTTCAGTTCTGTTCCAATTTCTACAGTTTGGATAAAATTCAGATGGCCAATGTCAACGCAGTGATGACTGAGAAAAGAGAACACACTGGTAAGTATGAGAAAATTTGCATCAATGATGACACTGGCATGGTATTTGCTGATGGATGTAACCTAAGTAAATTGGAGGGAGGTTCTGTGGGACAGGAGAGCCATGAGCACAAGGAATCATGGGAAGTCCCTAACCAGGGATCAGATCCACCTAACACACAGAGATGTCCTTTTACACAGAACCATGACAAGTGGGAGAAATGTGCAAAAATCATCAATGAGTGGCCAAAAGCTCTTACCCATCCTAATGTCCAGAGGAAAGACAGATCTTTTGAATGTAAGAAATACGGTGAACTATTCAATCAGTTCTCAGTGTGTACAGAGCATGAGAAAATCAATACCATGGAAATGTCCAATACATATACAGGTGAAAAATACAGGGAAAGCCCTGATGAGTCACCAAACCAAATTGGACCTAATACAATATGCACCCAAGAAGATCCATGGAGAATCACGGAATGTGATGAATCACTTCCACCAAGTTTAAGTCTTGAACAACAGCAGAACATGCAGAATGAAGAGAAACTTCATGAAATAGAAGATTGTAAAACTTTCTTTAGTAGTTCCTCACATCAAGGGATGCATAAGAGTATCGATGGGGGAGAGAAAACCTACAATTGTAAAGAATGTGGCAAAACCTACATTTCTTCCTCAGAACTGCTTTGTCATCAGAGAATGCACACTGGAGGAAAACATTACAATTCTGAAGAAAGTGGGAAAGCATATATGTTTTCCACACAACTCGTTCCTCCTCAGCTACTTCATACTGGAGAGAAACCATACAAATGTAAACATTGTGCAAAGACCTTTAAATGTACCTCAAGCCTTTGTATTCATCAGAGAATCCATACTGGAGAAAAACCTCACAAATGTAATGAGTGTGGCAAACCTTTTATTAGTTCCTCACATTTAAATGTGCATAAGAGAACACATACAGGAGAGAAATCCTACAAATGTGAATGTTGTGGAAAGGCTTTTGCTCATTCCTCATCTCTTGCTGTGCATCAGAGAATCCACACTGGAGAGAAACCTTACAAATGTAATGAGTGTGGCAAA